TCCTTATTCACCATAACCTTTAGCTTAGTCATGTTTATATGACCAAGCCGAGCATGCCATATAGAGGCATTGTCGTTTGTACTCATCTTCTCCACGTATGAGTTGGACGCAGATAAGACATATAGATCCTTAACCCGCGATCCGGTGTGAACCACATCCGCCTTTAACTCTTTAATATTCTTCAAGAATTTAACGTCTCTTGGGCCAAATAAAACGTAGTTACCTGAGTCTACTGCATTCACCACAGAGAGAAGATTCTTCCTTACTCCAGGGACATGGTATACATTCTTGAGGGTGATAGGGCTTCCATCTTCTCCTTCAATGACAACAGTCCCTTCCTTCTCGACCCGGTGAACTGAATTATCCGCGGTAATTATGGCTTCTTTTCCATCATGGCGCTGAAGACTAGAAAATAGCTTCTCGTCTCCGGTAATATGGTGGCTACAACCCGAATCCACAATCCAATCATTTTCAAGATTTTTAGTTGTGGATATACCTGAAGATGCAGCCTCCACCGTGAAGCATTTCCCCCATTCTTCGTCTTCAATATAACCTTTTGATTCTGCCATATTTGTCTCCTTCAGCTTGACTCGACAATCCTTTTTGAAGTGCCCAAGCTTTCCACACCGGTAGCACTTGAATCGCTTCTTATCTCCAGTAGAAGATCCTTCCGGTCCATCGATGTTCTTTGCACCAACGTATTTGGATTTGGCTTTGAAGTTGTGTTGCTTCCGAGCTACAAAGGCGCTCCCCGAGTCATCATGGATTTTGACTCCTGCCATTTGCGTAGCTAATGACTCTTGCGAAGCTAGCAGGTTCTCGAACTCCTCCAAGGAAGGTTGTGTAGCCCATCCTTGAACCGAAGTCACAAACAGTGTATACTCAGGTCGTAGACCTCGAATAATATACCGTTTTAAACGTGCTTCGGAAATTGACTCCTCCGGATTTAGAATATTAATCTCTGAGCGAAGATTCTTTATCTTGATGAAAAACTCTGAGATTGAAGACTCCCCCTGCTTTGCATTCGCCAACTCGTTCTCTAACAGTTGTAGCCGAGCTTCATTCTTCTTGTTGAACAACTGATCTAACGCCTGCCAAATGGAACTAGCGGATGTGCAACTTGAGACATGCTCAAAGACTCCCGAGGATATTGACCTCTTCAATGCAAACTCCGTCTTGGCATTCTTCCGTGTCCACTCCTTTGTCGCTTCCGCTGTTGCAGCAGCTCCCCTTGGTGGTGTTGTGCTACTGCCGCCGACGACATCCCATAAGTCCTCACTCACCAAGTATGACTCCATGCATGACTTCCATAACCGGTAATTGGATTGGTTTAGAATCTCCATTCCCAACCCAACAACGCGACCCATTGACTCCATACTTAGAGTAAATCTGAGATCTCAATTAATCCGATCTTGAAAAAGAACCAGATCAGAATGGCTCTGATACCATGTAAAGAAAACACCGATAGTGCCAAGCACTAGCCCAAGACCGTAATACCCGAGAGATCCGAAAGAAACAAAGACCCTCTAAGTATGAATAATAAGATGAAAGAATACTTAGAGAAAACTTGAAGGAACTTTAGAGAGAATAAGAGAACTTATGAAGAACACTCTTTCTTTATTTGTTCAACTTCTCTTGTTTACAAATGATGGAGTAGTGGGCTATTTATAGGCTCCACTTATTACAAAATATCTTACAAACATTCTCCTAATCTCTAGAATTTTCTACAATAATATCTAGAATTTTAACTACAACATCTAGAATTATCTATAGAATTATCTAGATATTTAACTAATAGAATTCTCTAGAACATTTAAGAAAGATGATGATTTTTAGTGATGTTTCTAGAGATTCTAGAACTTGAGCTTAATTTTGGGCCTAATCTAATAACTAATAATTATTTTATAAACCCAAAATTAAGCTTAACCCAAAATCAAGTTTAACTTCAATACTCCCCTTTAAACTTGATTTTGTCAGTCATCCCGAGCTTCGAGCGAAGTAACTCGAACTGACCTTTTGGTAATGACTTGGTGAAGATATCCGCAACGTTGTCCTCGCTTCGAACTTCCAAAGCTTCAATTGTCCCATCAAGCACCTTCTCTTTTATGAAGTGATGCTCTAACTCAATGTGTTTAGTCCTCCCATGGAACACCGGATTATTGGCCAGCTTGATCGTACTTTGATTATCTCCATAAATTGCAATTGGCTTATTGATTGGCTCGAACAGATCTTCAAGGAGTCTCTGAAGCCAAATACACTCTTGAGCTGCTAGAGTTGACGCTTTATACTCTGCTTCAGTTGTAGATAACGACACCGTTGCTTGCTTCTTACTGCACCATGAGACACTTGTGTTCCCACATAGGAAAACATATCCTGAAGTTGATTTCCGATCATCAAGATCTCCACCAAAGTCAGCATCCGTGAAGCCATAAAGAGAGACCTTGGCATTATACTTGTACACCAGACCCATGCCAAGAGTTGTCTTCACATACTTCAATATCTTCTTTGCCGCTTCTAGATGTGGCTTCCTTGGTGCCTGCATAAACCGACTTACAAGACCTACCGCGAAGGCAATGTCAGGTCTTGTAATGGTTAAGTATAAAAGACTTCCTACAAGAGAGCGATAAGGCCGAGGATCAGGTAGTAAGGACCCTTCATCGCGTTTAAGCTTTATGTTGACATCCATTGGAGTAGAGCGTGTCTTTCCTTCGTGTACTCCAAACTTCTCAACGATTCTTCTTGCATAGCTTTGTTGGCCGATGAATATTCCACCCTTTACCCTTTCCACCTCCAAACCGAGAAAGTTGTTGAGCTCTCCCAACTTCTTCATCTCAAACCTTATCGACATATCCTCTTGTAAACGAGTAATTTCTGCATCATCATTCCCGGTAATTATCATATCATCCATGTAAAGGAGAACTACCACGTGGACTCCTCCATTCTTCTTGAAGAATAGACTCGGATCAGAGTTTGATGCCACATAACCGCAGAACTGAAGAAACTGAGCAAGCTTTCCATACCAGGCTCGTGGAGCTTGTTTTAACCCATACAAGGCCTTCTTCAGCTTACACACATAATCAGGATGCTCTCGTGATATAAAACCAACTGGCTGCTCCATCAGGATTTCCTTGTCAAGCTCTCCATATAGAAAAGCATTCTTCACGTCTAATTGCCATAACTTCCAACCAAAACTTGCAGTCAAAGATAAGAGAGAACGTACCGTAGTCATCTTGGCTACAGGGCTGAAGGTCTCATCATAGTCTTCTCCATACTTTTGAGAGAATCCCCGAGCAACCAACCTTGCTTTGAATCTATCAACGCTTCCATCTGTTTTGCGCTTGATCCGGTACACCCATTTACAAGAAACAGGTTGGGCATTCTTGGGTTTTGGAACCAAATCCCAAGTTTCGTTCTTCATGAGAGCATTCATCTCCTCCTTCATTGCGTTTTCCCACTCGTCAACACCTTTTACTTCATCATAAGATGTAAGAAATAAGAAAAAAGATCGTAATAAGTTTATCTAAATTTAGTATATATATGTGTATTAAGTTTTAATCATAATATTAAGTAGCATATATATACTAATGCAATATACTATTTGTGGATTCTTATATCTAAATTGTTAATGATACGTTAGATTTTCTATGTTGCAATTAACATTTTTAGTATAAGAATTTTAATAAGTTTTATTGAAGACAAAAAAATAATAATAAAAAGTTAACTAAAACGGATGTCAGATAACAAACAATTTTTAATATGATCATGGAGAAAATAAAAATAAAAAAGTATAATTAAATTCTAGACAAAAGATTTTAAAAGAAAATGTGTGGATACTCATTTAGTATATCTAATTTAGTATATCTAATTTGAATTAATTGTGAGGGAATGTTGGATACAACAGTATCTGGCTGCGAAATAATTGCGACTTTATAACTATGTATTAATAAATTAATAAATGACCCAACTAACACAACAACAAACGTACGAAACACGGTCTCAATAGTTGTTTCTCATTGGTCCACTTCCAACTTGGCCAGCCACTGACCACTTCACCTACAATTTAAAATAGACTGACAAATCTCCAACCAAACACTGATCCGTAATAAATTATCCCTCTCTTTGGTTGGAGTCCTCTTTTTGAGTTTCCTCTTTTGGATTCATTTACTTAACTACATAAATCAATCTCCAATCAACCAATCACATGATTCTATCTAACACACTTCTTTCACGTAAAGTGTAAATGTTTCGAAGCCGATAAATTTAAATATATGAGAGTTTAGTTAATATTATGAAACCTGTGCGTGCAGTCGACACGTAACAATCAGAAAACTGTATCTATGTTTGGTAATAAATAGGTTAGCAATTAGTATTCGTTGGAAACCTTTTAACAAATTGCTCTACTTTTGCCGTAAAAAAATATATTAATTGATCATGATCGAACTATTTTAAAATCTGTTCAAATCGTTTGTAATTAATAATTAGATGTTCTTGTATCGCAATAATATTCTCCAACATTTTCTGAAAATCAAAACACAAAAGATAACCAACTCTTTGCATATGTAAAATATAGCCAACTTTTTAAAAGTGCGTTCACATATGTATGGCTAATTGGCTATAGCCTTAAACGCACACCGCGTTCGCCGCGGCACAAAACGCCCTTAACGCAATAAGGCTGTTCATACCCTAAATAAGGTTGGATGGTACGTTGCTTATAAATGGAAACCCACCCAATAACCAAATGTTTCTCATAAGTTCATATCTCAATGACAAGTTTCAAGCTTCCTTTGCTTATAATTTTCGTTCTCTCTCTCTCCCATCTTAATCTACTTCATTTTCACCATGACTTCTTCTCTTCTTTCCCGGTTAAGATCAGTATACTCATCATATCTCTCTTCTTATATGCCTACTCAACTACCCGGTCTACACCGGTTTACCTCGTCGACTTCTCTTGTCACCAACCCACAGACTCTTGCAAAATCTCATCTGAAACGTTCTTCAACATGGCCAAAGGCGCTCAACTCTACACCGAAGAAACAATCCAATTCATGACGAGGATACTAAACCGGTCCGGTTTAGGAGATGACACGTACGCCCCACGTTGCATGTTAACCTCTCCACCAACACCTTCAATGTTCGAGGCGAGGCACGAAGCCGAATTAGTCATCTTCGGAGCTCTTAACTCACTATTCAAGAAAACCGGAGTCGAGCCGAGAGACGTTGGAATCTTCATTGTAAACTGTAGCTTGTTTAACCCTAACCCATCTCTCTCGTCAATGATCGTAAACCGGTACAAGCTCAAAACCGACGTCAAAACATACAATCTCTCCGGTATGGGATGCAGCGCCGGCGCAATTTCTGTCGATCTCGCCACGAATCTTCTTAAAGCGAACCCTAATACCTATGCAGTCATTGTTAGCACGGAGAACATGACTCTTAGCATGTATCGAGGCAACGACCGGTCCATGTTAGTCCCTAACTGTCTATTTCGGGTAGGAGGTGCTGCGGTTTTGCTATCAAATAGAAGCCAAGACCGAGTTCGGTCTAAGTACGAGTTGACTCATCTCGTAAGGACTCACAAAGGCGCTAGCGATAAACATTACACCTGTGCCGACCAAAAAGAAGACGATAAAGGTATCGTCGGAGTCTCACTATCTAAAGAACTAACCGTTGTTGCTGGTGACACGTTGAAGACGAATCTAACTGCACTTGGTCCACTTGTTCTGCCCTTATCTGAAAAGCTCCGGTTTATCCTCTCTATTGTAAAGAGTAAGCTTTTGCGGTTAAAGATTAGTCCATATGTTCCGGATTTTAAACTATGCTTCGAGCATTTCTGTATCCACGCTGGTGGTAGAGCGTTACTTGACGCGGTTGAAAAAGGACTTGGACTCAGTGAGTTTGATCTTGAGCCGTCTCGGATGACTTTGCACCGGTTTGGAAACACTTCGAGCTCGTCTCTGTGGTACGAGCTGGCTTACGTGGAGGCTAAATGTCGGGTCAAGCGAGGAGATCGGGTATGGCAGTTGGCGTTCGGGTCGGGTTTTAAATGCAATAGTATTGTGTGGAGAGCGTTGAAAACGATTCCGGCGAAAGAGTCATTGGTAGGTAACCCGTGGGGTGACTCGATTCACAAGTACCCGGTTCATGTGACATAACTTTATCCTTTAGTACACGTGGGAAGTGAAGTCACATGATAAGGTGTCATGGGTCAACTATATATATATATATATATATGAAGATCAAGCTTATCATGTTGACGAATTGTGTCAGTAATTTGCTACTTGTGTGTCTTTTCTCTTCTAAAAGTACTCTCAATTAAAAAGGAGGATTTATAATTTAATGAATCAAATCTCAATTAGACAACTTTTTTTAATCAATTAATTCTGTTATTTACTGTACTTAGTTAAAATAAAAAAAAACCATTATTGGATTGTTAGACCACCTCTATCGGTGGTTTCTTAACACAATTTTTTCAAAAAAAATATTAATAAAATAATAAAAATTAAGAAAGAAGGAGAAGAAACATTTCTTTATTTCCTTTCTAAAGCACGGTTTCAGGTATTTTAACAAACTTTTTTAACATATGCCTTCTTATGATTGGTTTAGATCTTTTGATAGTTTAAATATTAATATTTTTTTTTTTAAGAGACTTTCTGAGTATGTAACCGATGGAGCTGGTCTTAGACCATCTCCAACGACAGTCTTTTAACAAAGTATCTAAGAATAAAATAATGAAAAAAATAAGAAAATAAATAAAAAGTTGAAAACCCTTCAAAACCGTCTCTTCAGATACAACTTTTATATACGTTTCTTAGACTTTTACTATACTTATCATCTTATAACTGGTTTATTTTTAATTTTAAAATTAAAGATTAACTAATTATATAAATTATCTTTAAATAATAGTAATTAATAGTTAAAAGACTCTCCATCTGTATGTAAGCGATGGAGATGCTCTTACAGAAATCATTATGTGTCAATCAACATTTGGACAATAGTTTAATGGGCCTTATTTAAAAAGCCCAATAAGTTACATTTTATTACTAATAATATATGTGGACTGGATTCTCCACAACCGCAAACAAAAGGGGACGGAGATAATATTCGCACTAGAAATCAGAGTTACTATGTGGACAGTGAAACCGGCGCCGATGCCGGTTCAATTTCTCAGGGGACTAACAGGAACAGTTTCCGTCGGCTATTCACAGCCTCCGCCGGGTAATTACGACGGAATCCACTTTCGACTCTGTAACATCCCGACGAAATCGCAAAGAACTGAATCCGTCGGCGGATTAGGCCAACAAATCCTCCTCCACTCCGCCGAACCGAACCAGAATAAACCAAACCCGAAGAAAAAGGAAATTAGTGGATCAGACGTGCTTTGGGCGATTCAGAGAGCGACGGCTCAGAGGAATAGATCGAGCGCCGATAGAAAGAAGAAGAAGAAGGAGGAGGAGGTAACAGGTGTGGAGCTGTCATCTTCTGCGGGCGAGTCCACTAAAGATAACGGTGTAGATTACAGTAACGTGAGGCCGTTAAGGATCAAGAGCGATTGGGGACGGAGACTAGACGAATTCGAGAAACTTCTCAAAGAGTTTCGAGACACAGAACTTTGACTTTGACTTTCCACCTTTGCTTCAACATCACAGAGTATATATATTTTTTTTTCATTTTCTTCTTTGTGTTTCGTTTTAAACGATACTGTTAAAATTATCGCAAGCGCATATAATAATCTTATTGTCATTCATCAACGAAATTAAAGGCTTTACGACTAACGAAAATTCAAATTTTTACCGTACCATTTATAAATATTATAATGATAATTATTAGTACAACGTAAACAATAACTTATCATCATAAGTAGTTAAGTACTGTAATAAAGACAATGGGACTTTCTGATGTAAGAAGCAATGAAGTCTTAATAATTTACTGACTGAACTGGACTGGACTGGACCATACTTATGCGTTTATGTCACTAACACGTGTACAGACCCTAGCCTCTTTGTAAACTTTTCCTGGTCGACAGAAATAGCCTTTGGTCGGAGCACAATGAGCATCCTCCGAACATATACACAATCCCTCCAATGCACATCCATCTTTTACAATCGTCGCGTTTCCTTTTATCCCTAGGATCTGGTCTCTCCACTCGCTCGAGAATAAACCGTTTGGATCATAACTTTCCTTTACTTTCAAGAACTCGGGTGCATTTTTGTACTTTTTAATCACTTCATCAAAAGCCAAATTTCTGTTTTTACCCCAATGTGGCAATGCATTATACTTGAACAACGCAATTTGTTCGATTTCTTCGATGAAATCTTCGTAGAGTCGTGGTGTTAAAGGATCTTTGGCTCGGTAATATGTTATATCAAAGTCTAGAGCTTGTGTTTCTTTTCCAAGATAGGCCGGAGAAGATGTGACATACCGCATTAGAATACCATTGTAGAGTTCAAGGCCGCATAAAGATTTCGAGTCGATCTTGACTGGAGATTTAATGTCGTTGATGAAGCTTTTAACTTGCGTGAGAGAAACACTAAAAGCTGTTTGATGAAAAAATTCGCCTTTTATACGCGAATCAAACGCATACGCTGTGGTTAATCCATCTTCAAGGCTATCTAGACATGATCCTGATGACATCATGCGGTTTTGGTTTCCAATGACCGGATAGCCGGTGAATACAAACCCTAATGCCGTTGAATATTTAAAATAGAAAAGGTGGGAGTGAGTATATATATATATTCGATTTGAATTAACCAAAAATGTATAACAAAACGAAAAAATTATTTACCATTGTTGGTCAAACCGTATGAGTTAGCAAACAGTGTAGATGAAGTTAGTTTGGCTGCCGCACACTTCCCGTTTGCATCTCTGAATGTCTCTTGCTTCTCTTCTAAATTATTATTGGTTATACAAAGAAATGAAATTAATAGAAAGCTTTTTACAATTACTTTATATATATATATATATATATTTTTTTAACATAAATCCAAACCGTAAAAAACCTTTAGAAATAAGGATAGATAGGAACCTGATGATCTTACGACAGCTATTGCCGCAGAGGGTTGCGAACGGAATGGCAAGAAATCATACAAACCGTTGCCCCGCGTGTTGTTTGCAACTCGGTCGTCCATTCGATACACCACTTTGCCTTGGCTCGGTATACAAGATCCGCAAACTCATGTTTTCCCCCAAATATCGGGGCTTGATCATCAAAATCCGAATCGTCTTTCATCAAATACGTCACCGATCTTTTGAACATCGGTTGCAATTCAAAAGTAACCTTTCCAAAAAAAAAATAATAATAATTACGACGGTATAATTGTAGTTAGAAAGGGTTAATTAGAACTCTATAAAGTATTTTATTTTAGTAAAACCAAAAAAACAAAATTTGAAACCGATATAACCTGAGATATAACGCCGAGAACGCCAAGAGAAACCTTAGCAGCGTTAAACTCGTTAGGAGTCGTAGTCTCGGTTAAAACTCTAATCTTTGCAAACCCATCGTTGGCCGAGCCAGGAGTAACCATCCTAATTTCCGTCACATAATCATGGACCGCACTTCCTTTACCTCGCAATGAGCTCCCATGAGCACCGGTTCCCATCATACCACCCACGGTTAGTCCCCACCAGTACGGTGCATAAGGCAACGCCAATCCAACTTTAGCAGCTTCATCGATAAACTGCCTAAGCGTCATGCCACTTTCAACCGTCAAGGTCATGGCCGTTGCATCTGACTGCATCGTGTGGTTTAGAAACTTGGTGCTTATGAACAATCCGTCAGTTCCGTCCGTGCATGCGAGCTTAGGGATGCTATGGGAATATCGAGTGGTTACACGCATTTTTCGTCCGGCTTTAGTGGCTGCTGCGACGATAGAGACGAGCTCGGCTTCACTTGTTGGGTAAGCCACGTTGGCAGCTCGACACGTGGACCGGTCTGGGAAAACTCCGTATGGGTTTTTGACGCTACAATCCTTGTTTCCTGACACACATCTGACTGGATCTTCCGGAGGTGTTGAGAGCGCTGTATGCACAAGTGTAAATATACAATGTAACCCGAGAACAATCTGCCAAAACGTAGCGTTTTGGAAACCATGCCGAAGAGTATGACCAAATGCCATTTTTGCTGTTGTTTAAGTTTAGTTGAATATTTTTAAATGAATTGCGAATGGTATCGTTGGTATAAATAGAGGCTGAGTGGTGTAAAAGGCTGGCTCAATGCGATTTAAATATAATATCTGTATCAACTGAGGTATGGACTTCATTCTTCAGTTATGCGTCACTAGCTCCACCATCTTGATTAGGGAACATGGATCATGGATGTATGAAGAAAAGTGTTGCGAAAAAGTTACTAAAATATTGCAAAAATAGTATCTAGTCCCATATTTGACCATGTATTTAATTTTACGATAATTTTCTTGAGAAACAGCCATAATTTAGAATGGTTAAATGTTTATTGCAAAATTTGTAGAAAATAATTTCATGTCGTAAGAAAGTTGTTTGGTGACCAAAAATTTCAACGGATAGTTTTTTCTTAAGTATACGAAAAATTCGTAATATAATTGTAGGCGTTATTCATTATTGCAAAAATAAAAAAAATATCTAAAAAAATATTGCAAAATGCAAACTTCTAGCAAAAATGAACTGTAATATATATATTTTTGTAGTGATCATCACTTGCCTTCGTTTGTCATATCTTCATAAAAAATATCTTCATATGAACATGTGATGTCGTAGAAGGATTGATAAGCGGCTGAAATTGTTGGAACATTAGATGGGATTTATTATACAAAAATAAAAGTCAGTTGGGTTTTGTCATATAATTTTAAATATAATTATAAAAGTTATTTTTATATGTACAATGGAGAATAAGAATGCCATGGTATGCACGGCTCTCTCAACTCACAAGCCGGTGTCAACATTCCAAAAGATTTAGAAAAAGACAGTAAATCATAATAAATGTATCAACATTCCAAAAGATTTAGAAAAAGACAGTAAATCATAATAAATGTATGAATTGCTAACATTTTTTTTTTTAAAAGATCACTGATACAAATTTCTTTAGTTAACCAAATAATTTATGAACATGCGCAACGTAAAATTAATGTACATCTGGCTCCAGTTCATAATTAATTGAGTCGTGGGGTCAGATTGTTTTTGTAAAAGTAACTCCTGTAGCAGCCAACACGGTGAAATTATAAGGCTTCGGTACTTCAACAAAAATCCAATTTTTATTGCAGCCAGACATTGAATAAAATTATTATAACAGCACAAAGAAATATGTAACTTATGATAACATATATTAGCACACACATAAACAACCGCTTTCTTATATAAGAAGGAAGCAATGAAGATCAATAACTTGCTGACTGAACCACATTTATGCCACTGACACGTGTACAAACCCTAGCCTCTTTGTAAACTTTTCCCGGTCGACACAAATAGCCTCTGGTCGGAGCACAATGAGCATCCTCCGAACATATACACAATCCCTCCAATGCACATCCATCTTTTACAATCGTCGCGTTTCCTTTTATCCCTAGGATTTGATTCGTCCACTCGCTCGAGAATAAACCGGTCGGATCATAATTCTCTTTCACTTTTAAGAACATGGGTGCGTTTTTGTACTTTCTAAATACTCCATCAAATGCTAAGTTTCTGTTTTTACCCCAATGTGGCAATGCGTTATACTTGAACAATGCAATCTGCTCGATTTCTTCGATGAAATCCTCGTAGAGTCGCGGTGTTAGTGGGTCGTTGGCTCGGTAGTATGTTATGTCAAAATCGAGCGCTTCTGTTTCTTTCCCAAGATAAGCCGGAGAAGATGTGACGTAACGCATCAAAATACCATAATGGAGCTCAAGGCCGCATAGAGATTTTGGTTCGATTTTGACAAGAGATTTAATGTCGTTGATAAAACTTTTGACTTGCGTGAGAGAAACACTGAAAGTTGTTTGATGAAAAAATTCGCCTTTTATACGCGAATCCCACGCACACGCCGTGATCAACCCATCTTGAAGACTGTCTAAGCACGACCCTGATGACATCATACGGTTTTGGCTTCCAATGACTGGATAACCAGTGAATATAATACCTAAAGCCGATAAATATTTGAAACATCGAAGTAAGAGTACGTAAATATTGTATGTGCATGAAATCAGTGAATTGTCATGTATAAGTACAAATGAAAAAAATGAAAAAACGAGTACCATTGTTGGTCAACCCGTATGAGGTAGCAAACAGTGTAGATGAAATTAGTGTGGCTCCTACACACTTCCCATTCGCATCTCTGAACGTCTCTTGCGTCTCCTCTTTAATATTACAAGAAAACCAATTAAAAGTTACGTGTAGAACTCTATTGGAATTGAATTTACTTGATAGTATATACAAGACCAAATTAATACTCCGTATACAAGAAAACAGAGTTAATAATTATATACTTTTTTTGAAGAATATTATTGGAATTGTCGTCACTTGATAATGCCTTAACAACCATACATTAATTAGATTATTTTTTAGATATTGGTTCTGGATCCAAGAGATATAATTTTATACAACACTAATGCAAGAATCACCGGATTACCTCTCTCTCTTATTAACTATTGACCAACTACCTCTAATAAGGAAAATGATGCAAACATTTGCTTCACATCTATTGTTTTTGGTTCATGTAAATATTTTTATACATGAAAAAATTAAAGGAATTCAATGAAAATGAAAAAAAAATATTGAGTAAAAAATACTGACTAAATATGATTTTGGATTAGGTCATGTTTTCTCCAGCCGATTCAAGGAAAAAATTGATGAACAAAATTGTAACGTTTATTTATTGAATGCAAACACTTTACTCAAGAAAAAACTTTAGAACATAAAAAAGGATAGGTAACCTGATGATCTTATGATGGCTATAGCCACAGAGAGTTGCGAACGGAATGGCAAGAAATCATACAAACCGTTGCCCGACGTGTTGACCGCTACTCTGTCATCCCTTCGATACACAACTTTGCCTTGGCTCGGTAACCATAACATATCAGCAAACTCATGTTTCTTTCCAAAAGTCACGGCTTGATCCCCGAAATCCGAATCATTCCTCATTGTATATGTTAATGATCTCTTGAACATCGGTTGCAATTTAAAAGTCACCTTTTAGAAAGAAAAAAAAAATATGTCCAACCGAAAAAGTTGTAGTTAAAATGTCATGATATTATCCTTTTGTAGTAAAAAAAAACAACATTAAAGAAAAAGTGAAAGTTTAACTAATCCAACCTGAGAGATTACCCCAAGAACACCAAGGGAAACTTTGGCCGCGTTAAACTCGTCTGGAGTCGTAGTCTCGGTCAAAACTCTAACCTTCGCAAACCCATCACTGATCGAGCCAGGACTAACCAACCTGATCTCGTTCACATAATCATGTACCGCACTTCCTTTACCCCACAATGAGCTTCCGTGAGCACCGGTTCCCATCATACCACCTACGGTGAGTCCCCACCAATACGGTGCATAAGGCAATGCCAATCCAACCTTAGCCGCTTCAGCGATTAGCTGCCTAAGCGTCACGCCGCTCTCAACCGTCAAGGTCATGGCCTCTGCATCCGCTCCCACCGTGTGGTTGAGAAACTTTGTGCTTATGAACAAACCGTCTGTTCCGTCGGTACACACGAGCTTAGTGATGCTATGGGAATATCGAGTTGTTACTCGCATTTTCCGTCCGGCCTTAGTGGCTGCAGCCACGATGGAGATGAGCTCATCTTCGGTTGTTGGGTAGGCCACGCTGGCGGCTCGACACGTGGAACGATCAGGGAAAACTCCATATGAGTTTGTGACCGTACAATTCGTATTTCCCGATACACACTTGACAGGATCTTCAGGTGGTGTTGAGACCGCCGTAAAAACAAGTGTAAATATACAAAGTAACCCTAGAAGGGTGTGCCAGAGCGCAGCGTTTTGGGAACCATACAAATGAGAATAGCCAAACGCCATAGGGCTTCGATTAAGTTTTGTTGGAATTGCTAATATTGGTGTATTTTTAAAGCTTATTTGGTATGTTTATATAGAGGTTGTCTTGTGTGGCGTAAAAACCCCGTCTCTGTAAGTTTTAAATAAAATATTGTTGTTAATTATATTAGGAAAGGGTTGAAAAATAATAGTGCTAGCTTGAAAGATAATAGTAACTAGTAGAAGTATACTAATCAAATTCGATCCAATCATTTTTAACTGTCATGTTAAAGACGTATCCATATTCTAATCATAGTCGTAATCCCATTGCCGCTGCCATCGCTTGTTGTTTTTTGTTTTCTAAAATGTTTTAGTCAAAGTTTTCGACTCGTCGGTTTATGCATTGTTTTTCAAAACGGAGAAAATCTTGACGGGCGAGTATTTAATCAACTACAGATATTTATATATACACGAAAATTCAACTAGTTGTTATTATCATCAAATGTCGACGTAGCACTCTAGAACTCAACTGCGGAATACCTTGACAAAATTAACCTACCTATATATATAATACACACATTAGTTTGGCTTTATTTAACTAACTCAAGTATTCAAGATTCAACTTTAGATTTCCTTGACAAAATCAAACTATACAATACGCACATTGGTTGGGTATTTATTATAAAAGACACGTTGGCTAGTTGGGTTTTTCCCTATATTTTTTTTTATAATATAGAAGAGTGTATAAAATAGTTGTCACCGTTGGAAGAAAAGTAGAAACAAGCATTCTTTAACAAACAACAAAAAATAGCGGAATTATTAAAGTATCGTGAAGCATGTCTCTCGAAAGTTCCAATCTTATGGCACCCTGGCCCCTGCCATAATAGCAGTAACTCGTCGTAATAAATATCGACCCATACACATAAAAGCGCTTTCAGATAATTAAGCAATAAAGATTAATTATAATGTACTGATTGAATCACGCTTATGCCACTAACACGTGTACAAACTCTAGCGTCTTTATAAACTTTTCCCGGTCGACACAAATATCCTTTGGTCGGAGCACAATGAGCATCCTCCGAACATATACACAATCCCTCCAATGCACATCCATCTTTTACAATCGTCGTGTTTCCTTTGATCCCTAGGATCTGATCCGTCCACTCGCTCGAAAATAAACCCGTTGGATCATAACTTTCCTTTACTTTCAAGAATGCTGGCGCATTTTTATACTTTCTTACAACTCCGTCGAATGCTAAATTTCTGTTCTTACCCCAATGTGGCAATGCATCATACTTGAACAATGCAATTTGCTCGATCTCTTCGATGAAATCTTCGTAGAGTCGTGGTGTTAGTGGGTTTTTGGCTCGGTAATAAGTTAGGTCAAAGTCTAGAGCTTCTGCTTCTTTCCCAAGATAAGCTGGAGATGATGTGACATAACGCATCAGAATACCGTTATATAGCTCAAGACCGCATAAAGATTTCCTTTCGATCTTTACAAGAGATTTGATGTCGCTTATGAAACTTTTGACTTGCGTAAGTGGAACACTGAAAGTTGTTTGGTGGAAAAATTCGCCTTTTATACGTGAATCCCATGGACACGCCGTGATCAACCCATCTTGAAGACTGTCTAAGCACGACCCTGATGACATCATACGGTTTTGGCTTCCAATGACAGGATAACCGGTAAATATAACGCCTAATACCGGTGAATAGATGAAACACAAAGGTAAGAGAGAGTTAATATTCTCGATGTAAAACCAAAGGAAATCTTCAAGGAAAAGTGAATCTAATTTTAATTAATTACCATTGTTGGTTAAACCGAATGAGCTAGCAAACAGTGTAGATGAAATTAGTGTGGCTCCTACACACTTCCCATTCGCATCTCTGAACGTCTCTTGCGTCTCCTCTAATTAATAACAAGACAGTAAAAAAGAAGAAGAATTTAAGTCAACATATAAAAATAGGAAGAATTTTTTTTATATCTTTAATTTATTTTTATCATATGCAAACTCTACAAAAAAAAAAAAAAAGCATTAGAGATAAGGATGAACCTGAAGATCTTATGATGGCTAATGCCGCAGATAGATGCGAGCGGAACGGCAAGAAATCAAACAAACCGTTGCCTGACGTGTTGACCGCAACTCGGTCGTCTATTCGATACACCACTTTGCCTTGGCTCGGTAACCATATGAAATCCGCAAACTCATGTTTCTTCCCAAATGTCACGGCTTCATCCCCGAAATCCGAATCATTTCTCATAACATACCTTAACGATCTCTTGAACATCGGTTGCAACTTAAGAGTCACCTTTATGGAGCAATTGTAATAAATGTGTCAGAGATATGATAGCGAAATTTTAACCTATCCATTATAATTTTAAATTTTTATTAAAGGTGAAATTTTGACCAAGAAAAAACTGAAATTTTAACCGATCTAACCTGAGAGATAACCCCAAGAACACCAAGAGAAACCTTAGCCGCGTTAAACTCGTTAGGAGTCGAAGTCTCGCTTAAAACTCTAACCTTTGCAAACCCATCGTTGACCGAGCTAGGACTAACCATCCTGATCTCGGTAACATAATCATGGACAGCACTTCCTTTACCCCACAATGAGCTCCCGTGAGCACCGGTCCCCATCATACCACCCACGGTTAGTCCCCACCAATACGGAGCATAAGGCAACGCCAATCCAACCTTAGCCGCTTCAGCGATTAACTGCCTAAGCGTCACACCGCTCTCAACCGTCAAGGTCATGAACTTTGCATCTGACTGCACCGTGTGGTTTAGAAACTTGGTGCTAATGAACAAACCGTCTGTTCCGTCGGTACACACGAGCTTGGTGAGGCTATGGGAATAACGAGTGGTTACTCGCATTTTCCGTCCGGCCTTTGTGGCTGCAGCCACGATAGCGATGAGCTCGGCTTCGCTTGTTGGATACGCCACATTGGCCGCTCGACACGTGGACCGATCTGGAAAGACCCCATATGAGTTTGTGACAGTACAATCCGAGTTTCCCGACACACAATTCACAGGATCTTCAGGTGGTGTTGAGATAGTAGTGAAGACTAGTGTAGATATACAGTGTAATATGAGGATGGTGCGCAAAAACGCGGCGTTTAGGGAACCGTACGAAGGAGAAGAAGTAAATGCCATTAATGTGGTGTCTTTTCAAATGTATTGCGCATTAGTTGTGTGTTTTTTGGTACATATATACGTTTGGTATATATAGAGGTTATGTAGCGTAAAAGGCCAATTTTTAGTGTGATGTAATTTATAATATCCGGTAGATAAGACAAGCTGAGTTATGAATGCTTGTAAGATAAGATTAATGATCATGTTATAATCATTTTCTCTCGTTATTATTTCATCGATTCATCATTTTTTGTGGTTTTAATGTTAAGACCGATTCATCATTTGCCATCTCTTCGTTTTCATTTGAATATAATGTTTTTATGATATATCCAACAAAATAGAGCTCTACATGCATTACTATACTTTGTGATATATAGGAGACCTCAATCAAAAACCAAAACTGGTTTCATATTCTATAATTCCTGTGTAAAAACTTTGTAATAACAAAAAAATGTGCTCAGTAGTAGATCAAACATAACAATGGCCACATAATTATTGACACCTGGTAATAATTCAAGTTTTTTCGCACAAAGGTTGTAACCGTCAAGCTAGGCTATCTAATTAAGTAGCTAGTTATTTTAATTAGGGTTGATTCAACAAAACACTAGAGTAAAAAATATTCGATCTAATTGGCCGGACATAATGGAATACACCCGTACTATTAAAAGTAAAACCAGCTAAGTAACGGAGGAAAAAATGATCAGCAAGTATCGGAAAAATGAACTTATTTTAAGTATTTATGAAAATTCTTGTTCTTATTCTGGTAATTACTTATTTATAGTCCCAAATTTATTTAATAAAAAGTATCACATAGTATTATTTTCTGCGGAGCGTGAAGGAAACCATCACAAACTTTCTTCCTCTGCAGCAATGTACTAGATAGACGCCTCCATCTCGCAGCGTTGGCTACAACCCCCTCAGCCTCTCCTCGACCACCCAAAATCCCTCCACGGCCTCGGAGGAGCCGCCCCCCACCGGGCAGGCGGCCACGGGCCTCCTATATGGTCTCCTCCACGGCCTCCATGACCTTGACCTCCACCTACACAATGGAGGCATTCAGTACACTGGCATCCACATAAACCGCGACTTCCACAGCCACGGCCACCTAGTCGACCGCCATCTCTCCCTCTCCCTCTACCTCTTCTCCCTCCACCTCTAACTCCCATTCCAGCAGCTGGGAATTATGCCTAACGTAAAAAGTTTAGCGCGCGGTCATAGTGGACGGATAAAACGTAAACAATATAATGTGATATATATATCAAAACAGGCAAAAAATTATCATCTGCTTAATATTTGCTTATATAGCAGTTTGATTTATATATATAAATTCAAGGATATGAATTGCCAAGGTACGTACGTCTTCACAAAATTTAGACAAGTCCAATGAGAGTCAAATGTAGGGAACGAATAGAAACGTGTGGGTTTATTTTACCAATTTTGATTTTCATATTATATAGTTGTTTTCATATTTTGGATAATCTTATTCTTATGTATGAGCAAAAAGGGAGCAAATGATCTCTTATGTTCAAAGTTCAAAGTTTCGCTATATAATAATTTTGTTCATTTGTGACAAATTACTAACATTACCTAAAAAAGTTGTATATTAATATTAGTCCACGCATTTTTGTTAATTGTTAACCTTTGAAACAAATGGGGTAAAATGTGAACACACATATTAATTAGCCAAAAAATATTAAGAAGCGAGCTATAAGTTTGTTACGTAATTTTGTTGTTAGAATCTTGAAATTTTGGAAGGTTGATGTTAGATAGAATTAACTTCAAGCAAGGTTTTCTTTTCACTGACTCTCTGAAGCGATTCAACTTCTCGATGGGCCACCGATCTCTAGTTTGGTTCCATATATTTTTAGATGGATGAACAAGAAAAAGAGTACTTATACTGTATAAGATAGGGAATAAGACTAGTTTTTTTTAAATAATATTATATGAATGTCCATTAACCAACAGCCAAGTATTAGCAAGAAAATATATGCAAATAAAATATGCATGATTGAAGTTTAATTAAAGCTGATTTTCTATTCTTTCTAACAAGATTTTTTGGGTTATTAAACCAAATTTCTCTTAATCAAAATCTCTCAGTCTCAAGAGATTTTTTGTTTTTTGTTATTTTAATAGTTAACTCTTTTTAAGTCATTTGTTGTGTCACAAACACGGTTGTGTAACGTTCATTATTCTGGTAGTCAAAATTTAAATATTCTACAGTAAATATAAATTTTGATTTCTACAAATGCATATTCATATAATTTATAGATGCAAAATTTATTAAAGATTCCATTGTGTTGATCATATGTTTTGATATCGTAATTGGATAAAATGCATTATCTATGATATTATGTAGTAGACAATAAAAAATCATATTTTTTATTTTAGTGAAATATATTCGTTATAAGAAGGAAAAATATGGAAATAAGAGAAAAATATATTATCGGTTCAGATGGTCCAATATAACATATATGGGCCTTCAACCGATTTATAAAATTAGGCTCCAATAAGCCCATATCTGTGTACTGATATGAGCCCGACTTTATTAATAGTAAGAATAGACACAATTTTTCAGAAAATAAATCAAACTATAACCGGGAGTCCAGTCCGGTCCAAATTATATAATTGTTAATAATGAAATTAAATTCAACGTTTGATATCATTATACACTGGATCTATCAATCAATGTTAAGGTATACCGTAAGAAAAAAAAAACTAATCAATTCGAAAGAAAACGAAGCTTTCTCTTATAAAGGTATACATTATCAAGGGGTTGCCCAAGTCACCAAAATTATATATTTGTGTTTGTGTGTGTCTTTACAAGACAATATAATATGGTACGTACGTAGCATTTTACAAAATAAATATTTAAAATTTATATGACAATTTCATATATTATATATAACCAACACCTAGACTACAATATGATTATTACTAAACAGACCATTAAATAACTAATATTGACAACGTAACTAATTAGACAGACGGTCAAGAAAACCTAAGACCAAAACCGTATTATTTTTAATGCTTACACAGTTACACTTATTTACTTACTAATTAATGAGCTAAATCTCTCTTGTTCTTAGAACAAAAAAAAAAATCTCTCTTTTTTAACTTGCAGAACTGAAAAAAAAATTAAAAAAAAAAACTTGGAGAACTGGAATATTGGCATTTGGCAATGGTAAATAGTTATTGCCTTCCGCTGCAGCATGCATATTTATAGCTCCAGGTTAATAATTTATACTTATAGTTTAGTAGCCGAAAGTATCCCATCTACATATATTTGTTGTGTCCATACTATTTTAAGTCTTTAGATATATGACAACTTCTCTTGACCAAAAAAAAAAAAAAAAAAGATATATGACAACTTCTGAATGCCGTGCCCAAAGTAGTATAAATATTGTCCATTTGAAAGATAGAAAGAAAAAAAAAAACACTTAAAATAGTATGCAGAGACTCAAACTCGTAACATGCAGCTAAAGACATGTACATTTGACCAATACACTATTTTATAACTTTTGAATTTAGAGAACTATAATATATAAACTTTGGGCTTGAGGCAAATACCTTTTTCCTAACAAGCTAAGCACGGTACTCCGTATGTTTCAAACAAGGAAGTGATATGCCTCAAATAAACACAAGTTTTCAAATTAAAGTACGCATTAATTTGAGATTTAGTAAAGTATAATTTAGTTTATGAATACTGTAACATATAGACTATACTATCATATCTAATGGATCAAACACAAATTCAATGTGATGTTGTATCTCGAATACACATGATCAAATTAATTGAAAATTGAATCTAGTTTCATAAAGTGGAAATATTAAAGCTCAAAGCGTAATAGCTTCTGAACCAATTTTAATCACATCAAAATGATGGGAAATTAAATTCAAAAAGGAGAAAAACTAAATCGAAGATCCCAATCACCTTTTATTGATTTATTTCTTTTCACATTCGAACCACGAAAATTAGATTGTCATGGCTCCTTCGCATATATATAAATATTATTATTTTCGACATAGATGTTAGACCTCGTTGGCACGAGCTTGCACTATCCCATCGCACCTACCGTTAATCATCTCCTTGAATATTCTTTCAAAAAAGAATCTTACACAATTATCTCGACCAATTTTAATTTTGATCGATATACTTCCATCTTTGTTGAAAATTGTTAGTCCAATAATCATCTTTATGTTGATCGAACCAGTGATAAAGGCATTCGGTGCCTTTTCTTATAACCCTATGAAAGTTTTATATGGCATTTACATATTTCAGACATAAATTAGTTTAAGATTTGGTTTTAAATATGTATTGTTTAATTTGGTTACGAAAGCAATTCATTCCAAGTCACCTTTCAATTTGAATTCGAATTAGCAAAAGCAATGTCTCTTTGCTGACCTTGCATAATATGGATTTTAAATGATCTTGATAGCTATCTCTTTCTAATAATGATTTTTAGTTTTTTTTCCCCTACATAATCCTTGTGGGTTTGTTAAGGATAAGATTTATGTATGATTAATGGTGAGAAATTCATAAAGGTAAAAAGAGCAAATGGATGAGCGATAGACACTCATGGACAGTGAATTAAAGAAAGCATCAACATAAAAGATCTTCATGTGCCTTAAACTCGTTAGTATAAGATAAGTAACAAATGAGAGGAAAATAAAAAGCAAAAATTAATTTAAAAAAAGGCATGACAAGAAATTAGAAAGTGATAAACTTTAGGGTTAATTTTTGTCGGCAAATCCGTTCTGTTCGGACTCTCCTTTTCGAAGCGATTTTAGCTTCTGTAGTCGCGATCGGAAAAGATGGTGTGTTACAATCATAATTTGTACTACGCTAGTGTGTTTGCAATTTTGCATATATGTGCATGCAGACTGTATGTAATATGAATGTATACTTTTTCTTAAAATTATTTTTGGTTACTTGTGGAGACTACACCACGGTTTTATTTGTACAACAAACATCATTTAAAAAAAAAAAGGAATCATTAACTTTCCCCCTTTCTTCTTTCTTCCCGTTTGCCCTTTTTCTGGGGTTGAAGAAA